TTATATATATATATCAGAATAAGAATTTGAGAGTTTATATGTATATTAAATCAGTGTGAGAGGTAGCATGCAACTACACACATGTGGTTGTGAAGTTTTCTACAAATGTCCCACAGATATTTGTATGTTATATATATATATCAGAATAAGAAGCACAACTATGGAAACTTCTTAGACATTTCCAAATACCCCATGGACTGAGCTCTGAGATTTGAAGGCTAAGGACTCTAGTCTCAGGAGATACCTAGACAAATTAGCATTATACATATATTATATATATATATAAATTATATGTAATATATAATTTCATGCATATATAAGATATTCTACATCCTAATGTGATAAATAGTATCTGGAGTCTTAAAGGCTTGTCAGTAGGCATCTCAAGATATAGCTATTGGTCTCTTCCAGAGCAAAGGAGAATGAAGAACACCAAATACTCCGAGACTCATGGGCTACATGAACCACAGCCTCTTCTAGCCTAAAAGCAAGACTAGATAGATGTTGCCTGGCCAACACTACAATCCTTATGACCAGAGATACAATAGAAGGTCCAACTGGAAAAAGTATATAGAACAGAAGTTAAGTTCATAACAAAGCCTTGGCTCACTGTTTTGGTAGAGACTGGAGGAACTTCCAAGACTATTTTCATGTGCCACTCTTGTAATGTGGAATGGAAGACTCTCCTGAGGCCACTTCTAGCTGAAAAATGATACCCAGACAGGCCTACTAAATAAACAATAAAAGTCAAGAAGAATGTGCTCCATAGAGCACTCAACTGTATATGCACAAAAGGGCAACATTTCCCCAAAACACAGATGAGATGGCAGTAAGGAGCAGGGAAATGGGACAATTGGAAACAGGAAACCCATGGTGGGTATGGGGAGAATATTGGCACATAGTGCAGATTGCAATCAGTGTCTCAGAGCAGTTTGCATGTGAATTATTGAATGGAAAACTATTTTGCTTTGTAAATTATCACCTCAGGCACCATAAAATATTCAAAATATACTTTGTGGTTTGTATTGGATTCTTACTCTTTTCCCGCTTGAGTACACGAGGAAAGATGAGAAAAAACTAAAGCGAGTATTTTAGCTTAGTTGCTGGCAACTCTGATTTGAAACTAGAATGATAAACGGGTACACTCTTGGGTAGAAGGAAACATGAGTGTTATCATCAGAGGATCTGGATTATTTAGATGCTTATTAGGGCTTAATAGTTCTCTCTGTGTGTCACCCATTATGGTTTCAACAAGTTATAGCAAGAACCTTGTGCTTGTGCCAGTGTTGGCTTCGATGCATGCCACAGCTTTCAGAAAAAAGACATATAATTGAATAATGCCTGCAGTAATAATAAATGAGTATTGCTTGCAGCTTACAGGATAATTGTGGAAGTTTCTGGTGCTTAACCAGAAGCAACCTACAAGGTTCCTATACAATTTTTGTTATCTCTAATATACTGCAGGTATTTACTACATTTGCATTATATTCCTCAAAATTTTTGTTTAACATTATCTTTATGCAGTGGAGGAAGTAAATGCATGGCATGTTTTTGATATTTTGTTTCCTTGTTTGTCACATGGCTTTTTCTCACATCAAATTTCTTTAAATTTAGCGGCTTTATCATACTCTTCTTCTTTTCCTTTTTAACCTCTCTCCAAGTTACTCTTAAGTGATATAAATATTAGTTTTCATATATACTGTGTTTTCTCTCTGCTTCTCAGGATATCTTGGTGTCCGTTGAGAATACAGTAATATCTCGGATAGAAAACATCGATTTGTGTTCCAGTAAAAAATTCCATCTGAAATTCAAAGTCAACAGACAGAGTCTAGAGATGTGGAATCAATTGGAAAAGCATGCTAATTACTCTGCTGACTTTCAAAGTCAACTTGCTGTCTTGGACAAAGCAATGAGAGGCACAGTATCCACTTATTTGGGTGGCGTCCCAGGTATCTGTTTACCTTTTCCTCAAATCTGCAATATGTTTTAAATCACATTTATAGTATATTCATTTTATATTTTCACTATAATGACATCAATAGGGAAGGCAACATTTCAGTATCCATTATCATTTTTCCCAGAGAATTCATATTGATGTGTTATTGGTACAGTTCTGTTAGTTTGGTCTGTGTGTGTGCTTAGAGTGAATTTAAATTTACCAAGTTTTGCTGCATTTGAATAGCCTAGCCAGAAAACACTTATTATTTTATCTCATCCTCACAAGAGCTTTTTGAGTTCAATATTAATTCTTCACCATTCATCTAATATGTCTTAAGAACCAATGTGCCGGGCACTCTGGATGCCAACCAATGCACTGCCATCGAGTTGGTGCCAAGTCATGGTGGTAGAGTAGAACTGTTCCACTGGGCCTCAGAGGCTATACACCTTTTCCAAAGTAGATGGGCCATCTTTCTCCAGCGGAGCGACTGCTGGGTTCAGACTACTAACATTCAGGTTAGCAGCCAAACACTTAAACCGTGACTTTACCAGGGTTTCTTCTTCTGTACAGAGTCATAAACAAATAGATTCCATCTCTGTTGGTAAGGCCCTTATAATTCTGTAGAAGAGGGAGCCATTCAATAATGGACTTAAAGGTATAAAAATTGTTAAAATTATGCTTACTGGTATGAAGATGTGTGAGATGCTTCGAGAACCTGAAAATAGGGACCTGCCCTTCAGGGAAGATTCTCCAAAGAAGTGACTGATATCTGAAGGATTAATCAGTTCATGGGGTGAAGATTGAGGTAAATAAATATACAAGTGAAATTGCGTATGTGTGTATAAGTAGAAAAGGATTGACACACTTCGAAGAATAGATAGAAGATCGATATCGTTCTTAGCAAGGTGAACAGGGGGATGGCAGTACAGATGGGGCTTTAACTGGGTCAGCATGTGGATTCAGTCAGGGTCTTCATTTTTATCACGAAAGCCATGAGAATCAGAAACATGTAGACAAGCATGTGATATATTAATAGCACAACTTAAAAAACCCATTCTGCATAATATCTAAAGACAGATCGGTGGTAGGTAAAAGTGGATACAATTGAGATGAGTCTGAGGCCATTACAGTCCAGATGAAACAATGACAATTGTATACAGTAATTTCAGTTTATCCTAGAGGGTTTCAAATATACCACCTCATTAACTTGCAAAATAATTTTATGAGATAGATTCAATTATTATCTGTACTTTATATATGAGAAAAATGAGGTGGCTGAACTAGACTGATGACAGTATGCTGTATATATGTTAAGAAGTTAATTACAGTTTAAATGAATAAATTCTATATTGAATACATATTACCCTATTTATAAGTTGGTTGAGTACAATTTTAGAATATGAAAGGATGAAAGAGTTCCAAATAGGTAACAATATAAAATTTCTAGTGACAATAGCACTGAGGATTAATTCTAGACAAGATGTGTAGAAAAACAGTGAAGAACACTGAAAGAGAGATGATGTGAGATATTTAGAATATAGACTATGGGAATGTATAGTAGTTAATGCAAGAAATAGGCATATCAGAGTTTTGCATCATATATTTTTTGCATAAGGTACTAAGGAAGATGAAAAATAATAATGGAAAAATATAAATTGTGCTTTAACATTTATGCAAAGGAAATGTCAGAAAGAAGAAAGTAGGTGGACAGATGTTTTTAAGATGAAACAGTTCTTCAGAATCCAAAGCTATTATGTAAGCACTAAGTTTATGAAGAGAGTAAAAGTATGGAAAGGCCAAAGTCCCTAAAATGACCCAAAACTACTCACGAAGGAGTCACTAAAATTACTCTAATAGAACATTAAATATTACATAAAAGCAAATCACTAATCATGATATGCCCTTATATACTCTGTAAGAAAATATTTCTTTGAAATCACATGAATATATTTTATTCCAGCAATAGGAAAAGAGACAAAGGGGCTGCAAAATGTTCATCAAAGAATGGAATTAAAGGATAACGGAATTTCATCACTTACTTTTTGAAGCCCTTTTGTGTATTTGCCATGGTATTCATAAAATATAACCAAGTAACTATAATTTGGACTTAAAAGAAATGACTTGATGATTAGACTATTGCTCAAATATAAAAAAGAAATTGTAAGCTAGAATATCACAAATATTCAAGTATGTTTATTTATCTTAACTTTGAATGGCAACTGTGTTTATGAAATCAGAGTGCTATGGTGGGAATTCTGCCCTAACAAAATATATGTTGCAAATCTTACACTATACTTGTGACTATAATCCTATTTAGAAATGGGTTTTATTTGTGTTGCTCACGAGACAATATAGAGTAGGGTGAGTCTTAAGTCAATTTCTTTCAACACATATGTGTTAGTCTGGGTACTTTAGAGAAGCAAATCCACAGAAAACTCATGTATGAGAGAGTTTTATATAAAGGTTAAGTGCACATCAAGAAAACATCCCTAGCCAGTGCTACCCAAGCCTACAATTCCAACATTAACCCATATGTCCAACACCAATCCACAAAGTCTTCCTCCATCTCACAAAACAGATGCAATGATGCCAACTGCAGGAGGAAAGCCAAGTCAGTGATTGTGTAAGCATCTCAGCACTGGGAGGGGTCTCCACACGGCTGCTCCAAAATGAAAACAGATTTTAACAAAAGGCTGACTCAGGAGGGTCAGTTAAACTTGGGTCTTTGTAATCAAAGGAGTAAAGAGGTGAGATTGCCTCACACTGGCTGGTCATGCATTTGAAGTAGCAGTTTCATTTTACCACTGCTGTATTCACCACCCACTGTTCACATTAGGTGTGTATCAGATGTTTTGTTGATAATTTTAGAAAATAAACTTTTTCCCCACTGTGGATATTTGTATTATTTAAAGTTATTAAATCAGTATGTTTTATTTAAATGCCTGTGAAAACTAGATGTCTTGAATTAACGCTTAGAAGAGAAAATTACATGCAGCACCCAGTGCTGCATCAGGGTAGGTCCATGTGGCTTCTCCTCAGGGATGTCTTGCAGGAAATGAGCCTTGCCAACTAAAGCAGGGAACTGGCTAAGGCAGCTGCACCCTGGTCTGACCATCAGAAAGCAAGAGACCCGAGAACTAGAAAGGCAAGGCTCACCAAGCCATTTATCCCTCTGCCCTTCAACTAACCCTACATGTGTTTATTGGCCAGGTTGGCACAATAAACTAACTTCCTCAACATAAAAGAGCAGTCAAGTAGCAAACAAGCACAAACAGAAAGATCCATGCCCAGGACTTCTCCTTACAGCACACACACAGAGAAATTTCCCTATGAGCTGGCACCCTGAATTTGGACTTTAAGCCCCCTAACCTGTGAAATAAATTTTTGCTCATTTAAGCTACTCAGTATTTCTGTTATAGCGGCATTAAATTCATGATATGCGCAATGCAGTACTAACCACAATACCTTATATGTTGGTGATAGATTCTATTGAGTTGCCCAAATGTTTTGAAGACTTCATGAACAACTGCATGAACAACTTTCAGTGCCTTGGTTACATGTAGATCACACTGTTGTAGTCCACAGGATTTTTATCGGCTGGGCTTTGGAAGTATATTGTTAGGCTTTACTTCTAGCCTGGAGGTTCTGCTGAAGCATGTTCAATGTCAGAGCAGTATGCAAGCTTGTACTGACAGAGGGGTGGTAGCATTTTATGAACTGTGTTGCAAAAGTGTCAAACCCTAGCCTCATGTGAGGTAAGAATTCTACCATTGAACCGCTACTGCCTCCATTCAATTAATGCTCTTGGTTGATAATTCTAGGGTTGGAAGTTCTAGCCCACTGTGATGTGCCTCGGAACAAAGTCTTGGTGATCTACTTCCAAAAAAGCAACGATTGAAAATGTGTGGAGCCCAGCTCTACTTTGACACACAAGTGGTTGCTATAAGTTGAATCAATTTTATGGCAACCTTATACAAGGAGTCATTTAATATATATTCATTGAATCTAATTGTATTATTAGAATTTGATTGGAAATGAAAACTCTGAATGATTCACATACCTATAAACAAATAAAAGATGGGAACAGCTTTGGACTAATAATCTAATGTTCTGTTTCTACAGATGTTTCCTTCGATGCTATCCCTGTGAATGCCTTTTTTAATGGCTGCATGGAAGTGAATATTAACGATGTTCAGCTGGATCTGGATGAAGCTGTGTCGAAGCACAATGATATTAGAGCTCACTCATGTCCATCAGTTTGGAAAAATTCAAACAGTCCTTAAGGCATATTTCTCTGCTGAAAATATCTTGATTTTTGTGTATAATTATACTTACATTTCAATTTGTGGTACTTTGATCTTCATTGAACTTTTAAAAGGTTCTTTAAAAAATATTGTGATATAAATCACATTAGAAGATATATCTTATATTTGTTGTTACCCAGATATCTTATATTTGTTGTTACCCAGATATTAAATAATGAAACATATAACACTTTTAATTTAAATCTTTTGCTACAAACGATTTCGCTTAAGTTTTATATTCTGAAAGTAAGGTATCATCAAGAACTGGTGTTTAAATATCTATTTTTCTCAGAAGGCTGGTCCATAAGCAGAAAAACAAGACCCGTGTAGGTAACTACACACTATGACTTGTTTGGTTTTCCCTAGTGGAGACAGAAGGGGCAGTGGCCTATTAAGTCTGAGTTGAATAGAAGGTCCTAAAGCTTTATTCTAAAACAATTCCTTAGGGGTTCCAGTTTGGGTTTCCTCTTTTATCTGACTTGAAATTTGAAACAGTATCTTCACTAAGTTAGCAAACAAATGGGACACTGTGTTTTGAGAAGCAGCATATGAATGTTGCTGGCTGATAATTTGAATCTATGAGTATGAGATATGGGTTGTGTTGGGATGTGTGGAAAACTGGGATAGGTACATCTCTTAAATTTGGCTATGTGTACTCTGGGGTAGAAATGGCAGCATTTAGCTGTGCAAAAGAGAACAAACAAATAAAAAAGAATAAACAATGTAGAAGACAAAATTCGTTATTTTTCTTCAATTCAACCTTAACTGACAGAGATTCCCAAGTCTGGTTGCTCTAGGGCAAAAGAACTATGAAAATGAAAACAGATTTTAACAAAAGGCTGACTCAGGAGGGTCAGTTAAACTTGGGTCTTTGTAATCAAAGGAGTAAGGAGGTGAGATTGCCTCACACTGGTTGGTCATGCATTTGAAGTAGCAGTTTCATTTTACCACGGCTGTATTCACCACCCACAGTTCACGTTAGGTGTGCATCAGATGTTTTGTTGATAATTTTAGAAAATAAACTTTTTCCCCCACTATGGCTATTTGTATTATTTAAAGCCATGAAATCAGTATGTTTTATTTAAATGCCTGTGAAAACTATATATGTCTTGGATTAATGCTTAGAAGAGACAATTACATTAAATACATGTAATTCTTCATACAGCACCATAGTTTTTAAGTTGAAACACAGGTAAAGCTTAAATATTTGATGAATACTTGTGGTTGAGATGTAGACTGGAACTTAGATAGGGAAGAAAAGCAAAAATAACCGGTGTGTACCTGACACATGCCTGAAATTTTGATAAATCATCTTCCTGAATGCATTTGTTTTTCCAATTATTTCCATATCTGTGAGTGATATATTTCAGTGAACAACTATTTATGATTATGTTGTTGTAAAAAGCAAGGAAGGCAAGAAACAGAAAGTAAACTAAAAGTGAAAAACAAATCAACAACACAAAATGGGAAAAATGTGGAAAAAGGATCCGGCTTTTTTCTGGGGATGAAAGCTCTGATTCCTACTTCTTTGTGCCCAGACATAAGAGCAACACACATATGGATTAATTCCGCAGTTCATATCAGAAGCAGGAACCTAAAACTTGAAGTGATCTTGCTAGATGCTCCAGAGACTCATTACAAATCTCACCTAACTAGCTTTGAGATGTGCTCGCATATGAAGCAGAGAGGGACAGTTGGGGTCTACACCTGCAGCTAAGAATCTTTTATTTGATCTGGAATTTTGGCTATTGCCAAGAAATATAAAGTCCTGCTTTTTAAGAATTGGTAATTGTTGTCACGTGCCATCGACTCTGTTCCAAATTACAGCAACATACAACAGAGCAAAGACACTGCTCAGGGTGTGCAAAACTCACAAGCGTTATATTTGAGCCCATTATTGCAGCCGCTGTGTCAATCCATTTCATTGAGGGTCTTACTCTTTTTTTTGCCCTTTACCATGCATGATGTCCTTTCCAGTAAGCGGTCTCTCTTGATACCATGTCCTAAGTATGTGAGACAAGATCTTGCCATCCGTGCTTCTTAGGCGCATTCTGGCTCTACTTCTTCCAAGAAAGAGTTGCTTGCCCTTTTCATAGTCCAGGGCACTTTCAATACTCTTCACCAGCAACGGATTCAAATGCATCCGTCCTTCTTCAGCCTTCCTTATTCAATGTCCAACTTCCACAGGCACGTGAGGCAATTCAAAATGTTATGGCTTGTATCAGGCACACCTTAGTCCTCAAAGCAATATCCTTCCTTTAAGACACTTTAAATAGTCACCCAATGCCATGTGTTATTTGATCTCTTGACTGCTATGTCCATGAAACTTCAATAGTGAATCCATGTTCCAGTTGTGAGGATCTGAGTTTTCTTCACATTGAGTTATAATCCATATAGAAGGCTGCAATCCTTGATCTTCATCGTAAGTGCTTCAGTAAACAAGGTTGTGTCACCTGCAAATCACAAGTTGTTAATAAGCCTTCCTCCAATTCCGATACCGCATTATTCATGTAGTCCAGCTTCTCTGATTATTTGCTTAGCATACTGATTGAAGAACTGGTGAGAGGCTAAAACTTGAACACATGCCTCTCTTGTGTTTAAATCATGCAGCAGTCCCTTTTTCTATTTGCACAACTGCATCTTGATCCACGTACAGGTTTTGCATGAGCACAATGAAGTGCTCAGGAATTCCCATTTTTCTCAAGGCTATCCATAGTTTCTTGTGGTCCACACAGTCATATGCCTTTGCATAGTCAATAAAACACAAGCATTTTTCTAGTCCTCTACTTTGAGCCAAGCAATATCCCTGGTTCCATGTCATCTTCTGAATACAGCATATATTTCTTGTAGCTTCCTGTCAATGTACTGCTACAATCGTCGGATAGTAAACTTTTACATGTGATATTAATAACATTGTTTTATAATTTGCGCATTCTTTTGGGTAACCTTTCTTTGGACTGGGTGCAAATTCTGATCTCCTTCAGTCAATTAGCCAAGGAGTTATCTTCTAAGTATCTTGGCATACATGGGAGAGTGCTCCCAGTGCTTCATCAGCATATTGAGTCATTTCCATTGATACTTTGTCAATTAACTCCTGGAACCATTTTTTATGGGTAAGGCCATGAGTGCAGCTTGAACTTCTTTTAGTTACATTGGTTGTTGCCCATATGCTACCTCCTGAAGTGGTCAAAGGTTGACTAGTTCTTTTTGGTACAGTGATTCTGTGTTTTCTTTCCACTTTCTTTCAGTGCTTCCTGCATCAAAATTTTTCCCATAGAATCTTTCAATATTGCAATTCGAGGCTTGAATTTTTTTTCTTGTTATTACAGTCTAAGTTATGCTGAGTGTGTTATTCCTTTTTGGTTTTCTAACTATTAAGTCTTTACAAATTTCATTGTAGTATTTTACTTTGCCTCCTCAAGTTGCCCTTTAAAATATTCTGTTCACTTCTTTGACTCCATCATTTCTTCCATGTGCCTTAGCTACTTTATGATTAAAAGCAAGTTTCCCTATGCTGTTCCTAACCTCTTTGGGGTTCACTAAATTTACACCGAACAGTTATCAGTGATTGCATACATGGAAATACAAAAGAAGAGGCGTTTTTCTGAACATGTTGTTAGGTTAATGGTGAAACTATGAGAACTTTTGAACTTACTGCCATTTAATAGTCCAAGCATCATTGACTATAGCTAACACAAAAATAATGATCTAGACATACAAATGAGCAACTTATGTAATAGCAGAAGAGATCTTTCAGTAGTATGCAAAATTGACAAGATGCAGAACTTGTACAGGGATCAGGAGGCAGTTGTACAAATGGTACAAGGAAATACTGCATGGTTTAAATCAGGAAAGGTGTATGACAGGGTTGTGTCCTCTCACTATACTCAGCAACATAGACTTCCACTCATCAAGGCTGACTTGCCTACTGCCACTGCTGAGTGCACAATCTGCCAGCAGCAAGGGGCTACAGTGAACCCAAGGTATGGGACTATTCCTGGAGGGAGTGTGTTGCTGATTCCTCTCATAATAACCTCCATCCCTGATATCATAGCCAGTTTGTTCATGTGCCTACTTGGCAAGGTCACGAGTGACTGGTGAAATATATATTCCCAGAATGTGTCTTCTAATCCACTCGATTGTTAAAATCCCCCCTAAAAAGGTAACCCTTTGGTGAGAATTCACATGGGACATAAATAAAAGTATGACACAAGTGGAAGCTTTGAGGTCATTTATATGGCATCTGACGCAGGATTCAAAAACTATGAGTTCATCTGTTTTCTTTATCAGTATGTCTGTTGCAAGAAGTACCAACCAAACAGCTTTATTAAATTTACCATCCTGAAAAATAGTAGAAAGATATCAAACAGGCAATCATCCAGAGCCTCACTTTTAACCAACACTTAATCTATTGGTGGTACTATTTTGGATGTTGAGCATTGCCACTTCTGTGCCCTTATTACTAATAGTGACAGACATTTGTATTTCAGGTGGAGTTCTCAGGGCTTTGTACATACACAGAGAAATGGCAGAGATAGGTTATAAGTTTGGCTTCTGTATGCATCATCAGCAGTTCAAAACCACCAGCAGCTCCTCGGGAGAAAGACTGAGCTTTCTACTCCTCTAAACAGTTATAGTCTTGGAAACCCACAAAGGAGTCACTATAAGTCAGCATTGACTCGGCAATAAATTTAATTTTTGGTTTGGTTTAGTCCAATTAGATCTGAGAACCAATTTGGAAAACTCATCTTTATGATTTTGCTTCTCTAGAACCACTCCTGATACCAAATGTGTTCCGTTCTCTAGAAAAGCAAAACCAGTGATGCTCATACGTATTTGTATATAGAAAGATTTATATTGAGAAATTGCTTGCATAGTTGTGGAAATAAGTAAGTCCAGTCCACTTCAAGTTAGGCTTCTCCTGAGACGTGTAACTATGTAAGCCAATGACTAGAAAGCAGGATGATGAAGCAGGTAGGCTACAGGCTGGTGGATGGAGAGGTAAATGAATCCAAAGTCAGCTAGATGAATCCACTGTAAGTAGTCGGTTGATGACTCCTGGGATCAACAGGCAACACAGCAGGCAATCAGCAAACCAGGTGCAGGATCTAGCTCCAGCAGAGGTTGAAGGGTCAAAGAGAAAATGGTTCTGTCCAGTCTTTCTCTTATACAAAAGGGCACACCTCCAAGAAAGTATCATTATGCAAGAGTGTCTAGTTGACATAATCTGCAACCACCATACCACCCAAAATATTAAATACTCGGGAATAAGATTGGCCAAATAAACAAAAAGATGTGTACAAGATAACTACAAACCACTACAAGAAACTACCAAGACCTGTATAAATGGAAGAATGTTTCATGTTTGCAGATAGGAAGGTTTAACATCATGAAAATGTCATTACCACCCAAAGTAATCTATAAATATAGTGCAATTCTGATCCAGATTCCAACCTCGTCCTTTAAAGAAATGGGAAAACTAATTATCAACTAGATGGAGAAGAAAGAGGCCCAGAATAAGCAAAGTGCTACTTACGAAGAAGAACAAAGTGAAAGCCTCTTACTTGCCATAGTCAGAACAGCCTGGTACTGGCACAATGGTCGATATGCAGACACATGGAGCAGTACAGAGAATCCAGAAATAAATCCATCCACCTATAGACAACTGACCTTCGACAAAGGGCAGAAACACATTAATTGGGGAAACAGTCTCTTCAACAAATGGTGCTGATAAAATTGGATTTCCACTGGTAAAAGAATTAAGCAGAACCTATACCTCACTGCATACACAAAAATGAACTCAAGAGGCATTGAAGACCTAAAGGTAAGTCCTAGAACTATAAAGATTGAGAAAATAAGAAAATTGGGACAAACTTAAAGGCCTTAATACAGAGCATGAACACACTATCAAATATGATGAAAAAATTACACATAGCAGAAGAAAAAACAAATGATTGGGGCCTTCTGAAAATAAGCATGTGCATCAAAACACTTCACTGAAAAAGAAGACAATCCACAGACTGGGAAATTTTTTTGG